ATTCTTTTTTTTTTTTAATGGAATCTCACCTTGTTGCCCAGGCTCGAGTGCAGTGGTGTGATCCTGGCTCACTGCAACCTCCACCTCAAGGGTTCAAGTGATTTTCCTGCCTCAGCCTCTCAAGTAGCTGAGATTACAGGTGTCTGCCATCACGTCTGGCTGATTTTTTGTATTTTTAGTAGAGATGGGATTTCACCACGTTGGCTAGGCTGATCTTGAACTCCTGACCTCAGGTGATCCACCCACCTCAGCCTCCCAAAGTGCTGGGATTACAAGAGTGAGCCACCGTGCCAGATCTTCCATCCTGTTCTTTTTTCTGTTGCCCTTTATCAGCCGCATAAATTTATGGCTGCAGGGTTTTTGTTTGTTTGTTTTTGGTTTTGGGTTTTTTTGAGACATGGTCTCACTCTGTCGCCAAGGCTGAGTGCAGTGGAGCCATATTGGCTCACTGCAACCTTCACCTCCTGGGTTCAAGTGATCCCCCCATCACAGCCTCCCAAGTATCTGGGACCACAGGTGTCCTCCACCATGGTCCATGCCTAATTTTTGTATTTTTGTAGAGATGGGATTTCACCATGTTGGCCAGGCTGGTCATGACTTCTGACCTCAAGTGATCTGCCCACCTCAGTCTCCCAAAATGCTGGGATTACAGGTCTGAGCCACCTCGCCCAGCCAAGCTGCAAGTTTAAGTCACAAGATAACATAAGTCTTCATTGTTTTTCTCGTTGGGAAGGAGAAATGGACAAAAAGAAGGCAGGGTCCACTTGGTGACAGAGGAGACATTTCATTTTAAGCCTCCCTAATGCAAACAAAACATTCAGAGCTGATCGAGGATGTTTAATTTGTAAATTTGTGCCATATGGGTGCATAATTTGGCTCTTTGAACTTTTAATTCAAATTCCCTCTCTCCCCTCAATGATCCTGATATCTGACAGTAATGAAGGGTTCAGTCCCTTGAGTGCATAATGATAATAATAAATGGCACCCCCATGGCCGGGCACAGTGGCTCATGTCTGTAATCCTAGCACTTTGGGAGGCCGATGCAGGCGGACCACGAGGTCAGGAAATCGAGACCATCCTAGCCAACATGCTGAAACTCTGGCTCTACCAAAAATACAAAAATTAGTTGGGTGTGATGGCACGTGCCTATAATCCCAGCTACTCAAGAGGCTGAGGCAGGAGAATCGCTTGAACCAGGGAGTTGGAGGTTGCAGTGAGCAACCAGCCACTGCACTGCAGTCTGTTGACAGAGCAAGACTCCATCTACACAATAAATAAATAAATGCCCCCCCCCCCTCAATCCCTGGCCAAACCTTGGAGAAATCTGGAGCATGGAATAATTTGGGGTCATATGTTAGCATATAAAAAGATTGATTTAGCCAGGCGCGGTGGCTCCAGCCTGTAATCCCAGCACTTTGGGAGGCCGAGGCGGGTGGATCACAAGGTCAAGAGATCTAGACCATCCTGGTCAACATGGTGAAACCCCATCTCTACTAAAAATACAAAAAATTACCAGGGCATGGTGGCGCATGTCTGTAATCCCAGCTACTCAGGAGGCTGAGGCAGGAGAATTGCCTGAACCCAGGAGGCGGAGGTTGCAGTGAGCTGAGATCGCGCCATTGCACTCCTGCCTGGGTAACGAGCGAGACTCCATCTCAAAAAAAAAAAAAAAAAGATTGATTTTCTAGGTTTGAAAATTCACATATTGTGTTTAGAAAGAAGTTTGCAAGGAAAATAAAATAAAAAAGGAAGTACAGATATTTTTGCTGTAACCAAGCAAAGTATAGGGCACTCGTATTTTATTTTTAAAAAACATATATCTGTGTCTGTGTGTGTGTGTGTGTATATATATATATAATTTGAGACAGAGTCTCACTCTGTCATTCAGGCTAGAGTGTAGTGGTGTGATTTTGGCTCATTACAGGCTCCGCCTTCTGGGTTCAAGTGATTCTCCTGCCTCAGCCTCCTGAGTAGCCAGGTTTATAGGCGCACATAACCACACTCAGCTAATTTTTGTATTTTTATCAGTGACAGGGTTGCACCATGTTGGCCAGGCTGGTCTTGAAGTCCTGACCTCAAGTGATCCGCTCACCTCATTCTCTCAAAGTGATTACAGGTGAGAGCCCCCATGGCTGGCCCTTTAAAAAAATTTTTAGAAATAGAAATGGGGTTGCACCATGTTGCCCAGGCTGGTCTGTTCCTGGCCTCAAGTGATCCTCCTGCCTTGGCTTCCCAAAGTGCTAGGATTATAGGCATAAGCATGGCCGCTGGCCAGAAGTCAGACTTTAATGACACTCTTGTTATCCCGGAACATAGTAAGAAGCAAGGGGAGCCGGGTGTGATGGCTCACACCTGTAATCCAAGCACTTTGGAGGCCAAGGTGGGCAGATCACCTGAGGTCGGGAGTTGAAGACCAGCCTGACCAACACGGTGAAACCCCGTCTTAGACCAAAAAAAAAAAAAAAAAAAAAAGGAAGGGAGGGGAGAGTCTTTTTCCCAAGGGAAAGTAAACTAACAATGGCTCTCATTCCTCCCAAGGGAAAGTGCTTGCTGGTGGAGAGAAGGGGCATGAATTGATTCTGGCAGCCTGTGTGTTCCATGTGGATGGGACTGGGCAGGAGAGACTAATGATTATGACTACAGGCCCTGGTAGGTTCAACAGCCACCACAGGGACAGGAAGAAGTATCCTGTTCTACCTAAATGTCCTCAAATTGAGAGCTAGACCTTTTTTTAAATGTAATTTAGCTGGGCGTAATCTTGTTCATAACTTGGACCTTCTAGACTCCAAATAATACAGGGTGCAGGGCAGTGACCAAGGGAAGAAAGCCTCACTACAAGGTAACATTTGCTTGAGGTGCCCAAAAGTTTATTTCCCTCTCTCCCTCGCTTGTCAGGCACTCCATCCACACAGCAGGATTGGGCCTGTGGTAGCCACAAGTTCAGTGTTTGGCCTCAAGATTGGAGTGAATTAAAGAAGACTTACCCTTAATATTTTTGGGGCCCAGAACACAAGGACAAATGAAGGTCTATATGCCACATATGTAAATACCTATTTATTAGTTTTGGGGTTTTTTTAAGTCATACATGTAAAATTTTTTGTTTATTTTTGTTTTGAGACAGAGCCTCACTCTGTCAACCAGGCTGGAGTGCAGTGGCCCGATCTTGGCTCACTGCAACCTCTGACTCCCAGGTTCAAGTGATTCTCCTGCCTCAGCCTCCCAAGTAGCTGGGATTACAGGTATGTGCCATCATACCTGGCTAATTTTTTTGTATTTTTTAGTAAAGACAGGGTTTCACTATGTTGCCCAGGCTGATCTCAAACTCCTGACCTCAGGTGATCTGTCTGCCTCTGCCTCCTAAAGTACTGGGATTATAGGTGTGAGCCACTGCACCCAGTCCATATATGTAAATATTTAAAAGTTATAAGACAGGCTAACAAACTGTTAGGAAAATATGTTCTATCCTCCTGCATTTATAAATACACTTTCATAGTAAATTTTAAAAAACAAAACTAAAGCCAGACACGGTGGCTCACACCTGTAATCTCAGCACTTTGGGAGGTCCAGGCGGGTGGATCACCTGAGGTCAGCAGTTTGAGACCAGCCTGGCCAACATGGAAAAACCCAGTCTCTACTAAAAAAATACAAAAATCAGCTGGGTGTAGTGGCTGGTGCCTATAATCCCAGCTACTTGGGAGGCTGAGGCAGGAGAATCCCCTGAACCCGGAAGGTGGATGTTGCAGTGAGCCGAGATAGAGCCACTCTGCTCCAGCTTGGTCAACAAAGCAAGACTCCGTCTCAAACAAAAACAAAAACAAAAACAAAAAACAAAACACCACCACCCAAAACGGGAAGGGGTTTTAAAAACTAACAAAAACCAAAAACCGCCAGGCACGGTGGCTCCGGCCTATAATCTCAGCACTTTGGGAGGCCGAGGCGGGAGGATCACAAGGTCAGGAGTTCAAGACCACCCTGGCCAACACGGTGAAACCCTCATCTCTATCTAAAAAAAAAGAAAAAACAGGACGGGTGCCGTGGCTCATGCCTGTAATCCCAGCACTTTGGGCGGCCGAGGCGGGCAGATCAGGAGGTCAAGAGATCCAGACCATGGTGAAACCCAGTCTCTACTAAAAAATACAAAAATTAGCTGGGTGTGGTGGTGCACACCTGTAGTCCCAGGTACTTGGGAGGCTGAGGCAGGAGAATTGCTTGAACTTGGAAGGCGGAGGCTGCAGTGAGCCGAGATTGTGCCACTGCACTCCACCCCGGCGCCTGGCGACACAGTAAGACTCTGTCTCAAAAAACAAAACAAAACAAAACAAAAAACTCCCCCTAATTTATAAAGAAAAGAAACCCTAAAAAACTAAGTGTTATGCCACAGTATTTATACAATTGAAACCTGGCAAAATACCAAAGGAATTTAATTATCATCATATATGTATGAGTGTTTGGTTGATAGTCCATTAAAATCTGAATTGGTATAAAAATGAAGGCCTATATGATTATAAAATTGCTTCATATTTACTTCATTAAATTTATTTTCGTTTCAGCAAAATCATTAATCATACTGTTACAATCAAGATATTTTACAAAGTTATAATTTGTGTTTACTTGAGAGTCATGATCTAGGATTTAATAACAGAATGTAATTGGAGGCCAGGATGTGTGTCTGTAGTCCTGTTACACGTAGTCACTCAAACATGACCCAGGCAGGAGAGAGCTTCCCTCCTATCCCACCAGGAAGGTCAGGTGACCATCAGGTGATAGTTCGGCAGTTATTATTTATCACACTGCTTCTCTCTCTCTTTTTTTTTTTTTGAGATGGAGTTTCGCTCTTGTTGCCCAGGCTGGAGTGCAATGGCGCAATCTGGGATTACCGCAACCTCTGCCTCCCAGATTCAAGCGATTCCCCTGCTTCAGCCTTTTGAGTAACTGGGATTACAGGTGTGTGCCACCACGCCCGGCTAATTTTGTATTTTTTAAAATTCTTTTTATTTTATTTATATATGGAGCGCTTCACGAATTAGCGTGTCATCCTTGCGTGGGGGCCGTGCTCATCTTCTCTGTATCATTCCAACTTTTAGTATATGTGCTGCCAAAGCGAGCACTAATTTTGTATTTTTAGTAGAGACAGTGGTTTGTCCATTTTGGTAAGGCCGGTCTCGAACTCCTGACCTCAGGTGATCTGCCTGCCTCGGCCTCCCAAAGTGCTGGGATTACAGGCCTGAGTCACGTGCCTGCATTATTTTTAAAATTTAAAAAAAGAAATACTCATTGGAGAATTTCATATTTTTCAGATTTGGAATGTTCATTTGGTAATACAAATACTCCAAAATCCAAAAATATTTGAAATCTGAAACACTTCTGATCCCAAACATTTATTTATTTACTGAGATGGAGTTTTGCTCTTGTTACTCAAGCTGGAGTTCAATGGCACAATCTTATCTCACTCCAACCTCTGCCTCCAGGTTCAAGCAATTCTCCTGCCTCTGCTTCCCAAGTAGCTGGGATTAGGTGCCCACCAGCATGTCTGGCTAATTTTTTGTATTTTTAGTAGAAGTGGGGTTTCACCATGCTGACCACGCTGGTCTCGAACTCCTGATCTCAAGTGATCCACCTGCCTCAGCCTCCCAAAGTGCTGAGATTACAGACATGAGCCATGGGTGCCCAGCTGGTCCTAAACATTTTGATTAAGAGATACTCAACCTATATTATTAAGATAATGGTTTTGATATCGTGAATCCCCAAATGAAATTGGGGGCCTTTTGGGATTCCCAGACCACAATTTGAAAACCATTGCCATGTAGTGGGGTTTTGTGAAACAGAGTCCCACTGTCATCCAGACTGCAGTACAACGGTGCAATCTCGGCTCACTGCAACCTCTGCCTCCCAGGTCTAGGGGATTTCCCTGTCTCAGCCTCCCTAGTAGCTGGGATTACAGGCATGCACCACCATGCCTGGCTAATTTTTTTATTTTTAGTACAGACAGGGTTTTTCCCTGCTGGCCAGGCTGGTCTTAAACCCCTGACCTCAAGTGATCTGCCTGCCTCAGCCTCCCAAAGTGCTGGAATTACAGATGTGAGCTTTCACACCCGCCGAAGACTCCATCTCTTAAAAAAATATATTGGCCAGGAGCGGTGGCTCACACCTGTAATCCCAGCACTTTGGGAGACTGAGGCAGGCGGATCACAAGGTCAGGAGATAGAGACCATCCGGGCTGACATGGTGAAACCTTGTCTCTCCTAAAAATACAAAAAACTAGCTGGCCATGGTGGCATGTGCCTGTAGTCCCACCTACTTGGGAGGCTGAGGCAGGAGAATTGTTTGAACCCGGGAGATTGCAGTAAGCCAAGATCACGCCACTGCACTCCAGCCTGGGAGACAGAGCAAGACTCTGTCTCAAAAAAAAAAATAATAATAATGTATATAACTTTGGCCTTCCAAGGTGCTGGGATCCATTACATATAATGGATAGTTTTATTTTTCAATTTTTCACAGATTTAATTACATTTTCAAGACATTAAAATTTTCAACTTTATTCAAATAAATCTGATTAAAGTTTTATTTTTATTTCTTATAATTTGTATTTTGCCTTTTGTTTTTAACAATTTTAAATATCCTAAAAAAAATAACTTTTTTTTTTTTTTAATGGAGTCCATTCTGTTACCCAGGCTGGAGTACAGTGGCACAATGTCCAGTCACTGTAACCTCCACCTTCTGGGTTCAAGCAATTCTTCTGCCTCAGCCTCCTGAGTAGCTGGGATTACAGGTGCGTGACACCAAGCCTAGCTAATTTTTGTATTTTTAGTAGAGACGGGGTTTCACCATGTTGGTCAGGCAGGTCTCGAACTCCTGACCTTGTGATCCACCTGCCTCGGCCTCCCAAAGTGCTGGGATTACAGGTGTGAGCCACCATCGCTGGCCTGAGACTGGGCAATTTATAAAGAAAAGAAGTTTAGGCCCCTCGCAGTGGCTCACGCCCGAAATCCTAGCAGTTTGGGAGGCCGAAGTGGGTGGATCATTTGAGATCAGGAGTTTGAGACCAGCCTGGCCAACATGGTGAAGCTCCATCTCTAAAAATATGAAAAAAAAGCCGGATGCGTTGGCTCAAGCCTGTAATCCCAGCACTCTCAGAGGCTGTGGCAGGCGGATCACCTGAGGTTGGGAGTTTGAGACCAGCTTGACTAACATGGAGAAACCTCATCTCTACTAAAAATACAAAATTAGCCAGGCGTGGTGGCACATGCCTGTAATCCCAGCTACTTGGGAGACTGAGGCAGAAGAATCACTTGAACCTGGGAGGTTGAGGTTGCAGTGAGCCGAGATTGCAGCACTGCACTCCATCTTGAGTGACAGAGCGAGACTCTGTCTCAAAAAAGAAAAAAAGGAGGTTTAATTGGCTCAGGTTCTGCAGACTGTACAGATAGCATGGCTGGGGAGGCCTCAGGAAACTTTCAATCATGAAGGTGATGAGGAAGTAGGCACATCTTCACATGGCTGGAGCAGGATAGAAAGAGAGAAGGGGAAATACTACATACTTCTAAACAACTGGATTTTGTAAGAACTCACTCAATATCATGAGAAGAGCAAGGGGGAAAATCCACACCCATGATACAATCACCTTTCACCAGACCCCTCCTCCAACATTGGGAGGGATTACAATTCGACATGAGATTTGGGCAGGGACACAAATCCAAATCATATCAATTATATTATACATAGAGTTTAAAGAAGGAAAAAATAATGTGGGGTCCTTTGGAACCCTGAGTCCCAGGAATCTCAAAGTCCACTTATTTTTACTTAGAAATTAATTAACCAGGCTGGGCATGGTGGCTTGTGCCTGTAGTCCCAGCTACTCGGGAGGCTGAGGCAGGAGAATTGCTTGAAACCAGGAGGCAGACGTTGCAGTGAGCCAAGATCACACCACTGCACTCCAGCCTGGGCGACAGAGCAATATTCTGTTTCAAAAAAAAAAGGCCAGATTACAACGTGCTGTAATCCCAGCACATTGGGACGCCAAGGTGGGTGGATCACGAGATTAGGAGTTCAAGACCAGCTTGGTCAACATGGTGAAACCCCATCTCTACTAAAATTACAAAAATTAGCCAGGCATGGTGGCAGGTGCCTGTAATCCCAGCTACTTGGGAGGCTGAGGCAGGAGAATTGCTTGAACCCAAAAGGCAGAGGATGCAGTGAGGGGAGACATCTTACCACTGCACTCCAGCCTTGGGGTGACAGAGTGAGACTGCGTTTCAAACAAAACAAAAGTGCACATTCTCTGAACCAGCAATGTATTATTTTTAAAATCAGGAATCTCTACTATTAAGCTTAGTTTTACTTTTAAAGCTTAGTTCAGGGAGTCTCTCTAGATCTATTGTGTTTCAGGGGCTGCCTGTAAAAAAAAAATAAAAAAAAAAACAATTTTTTTTTCTCTAGCACTTAGATTACTGTATTAAGGAAATTTTTATATAGTTGTCTTTCCTGAATGGTGAATACCTTAGGAATAATGAAACTGCAAAACCCAAGGAATTCCTCACATCCATCCTCCTCCATTATCATTATTTCCTTTTGAACTTGATATAAACATCCAAATGTTTTCAAGGAGACCAGAAGACTAGAATGTGGCAATAAGAGTCACCAAGGCGTTACCTACCAAACTGAGGATATCCATAGTTGTAGTTGTGCTAGACTTTGTTTATGGTTGTAGACTTCAAACTAAATGGATATTATTATCCATCTGGTTATTTGAGCAACTTCATTAGTGTTGTGGATTTTAAGGGAGATAAGCTATGTTCTATAACAATAACAACTGGAGGGTCCACGAAGCCCAGAACTTAGTGTATTTTCTATTGTATAAAAATGATTAGAACATTTCAAGATGTAGACAATTGGGCACTTAGAGCTTTCAAAGGAAGAAACTAAAGAGAAGCATGGATAATTTTAATAAATAGATAATAAAGCAGCCAGGTGCAGTGGCTCACGCCTGTAATCCCAGCAATTGGGAGGCTGAGGCGGGTGGATCACAAGGTCAGGTGTTCGAGACTAGCCTGACCAACATGGTAAAACTATGTCTTTATAAATAAAAAATTTTTTAAAAAGAAAACATAGATAAATCAGAGGAAAATGACAATTTACAGTTTTGATTCAAATCTATTATGAGAATACTGACAGATTTGACACCTCCGACTTCAAAAAATATCCTTGTAGTAGGCCGGGTGCAGTGGCTCACGCCTGTAATCCCAGCACTTTGGGAGGCTGAGGCAGGCAGATAAAGTGGTCAAGAGATCGAGATCATCCAAGGCAACATGGTGAAACTCCATCTCTACTAAAAATGCAAAAATTAGCTGGGCGTGGTGGTGAGCAACTGTAGTCACAGCTACTCAGGAGGCTGAGGCAGGAGAATTGCTTGAACCCAGGAGGCGGAGGTTGCAGTGAGCCAGGATCTCGCCACTGCACTCCAGCCTGGTGACAGAGTGAGACTCTGTTTCAAAAAAAAAAAAAAAAAAAAAAATCCTGTAGTATAATTTGCATCTAGAATAAGTGCACAAGTCATAGATGTATATTTCAATGGATTTTCACAAATTGAACACACCTGTGTAACTATTATCTGATCAAGAAAGATAACATCTGTACCCCAGAAGTCTCCCTTCTGTCCCTTTCCAGTTGCTACAACGTACACCCTTTCCCCAACACACCAAGGGTAACCATTAGCCTCTTTTCTTTTTCCTAACCACTAGAATACCAGAAATATCCTCTTTTCTAACAAAATAGATAATTTTTACTTATTTGAACTTTATGTAAATGAAATCATACAATGTTAATTATTTTGTCTCTGACTTCATCATTTTGTTATATAATTTATCCATATTGTTGTGTGTAGCCGTGGGTTTTTTTCTTTCTTTATTTTTCCAGAACAGCAGTCCTACCCGGGTTCTTTCATTCTTATTGTAGAGTAGTATTACATTGTATGATTATACCACAATTTGTTCATTCATTTTACTGTAGGATATTTAAATAGAATCCAGTTGTTTCTGCTGGTTATATCTTAAGACTGGAATTGCTGAGTCATAGGGTATATATTTGTTAGGAATTGAAACAAATCCAAATC